GTGAGACCCTGTGGTATTCTCCTTTAGGTGTTTCTCCAAGCATTACGATTATTATTAACCTCTTTCTTCTATGCATCTTTGAACTTTTTAAGGCAGTAAAGCGGGGGTCTTCAGGTTAGGAAGGTCAGGGTAGGTTACGAGACAGAGAGAGTAACGTACATAGAGACACAAATATACACTTCCTAAAAATCACTGACCCTCCGCTGTTTTTCAGTCTTGTATAGCACACATATATACATACACACAGACTAATACACATAATATACATAAATACACAAGCTTACATGACACACACAATAAATAAATTATGCATTTAAATGCGTATATATATATATATATATATATATATATATATATATATATATATATATATATATATATATATATATATATATATATATATATATATATATATATATATATATGTCGTACCGAATAGGTAAAGCTTGCGAATTTGGATTAAATATCAACGCTCTTCTTGCCGAATAAGGCAAGCAAAAATTTGTGTATGCAATAATTTGGCAAAAATTCATTCAGAACCTAAGGAAACAAATATATTTTATTATGCTTGTTTATTATTAAATTATTGTAAACTTATTCAAAATATATTTAAATGCATTAGACTAAATTAAAGTGCGCTTATTATAATAAGGTTAGGTAAGTTTTCTAAGGCTCTTTTGGTACAAAATTATTAATTTTTACATTAACATAAATGTAAAAATATATCTTTAAACGTATAAGAAAAAATTTTAGAAAAGACTTAATTTTAAATGAGTTTTTGCTAATTGACAAATTTTGCCTATTCGGCACGACAAATATATATATATATATATACATATATATATATATATATATATATATATATATATATATATATATATATATATATATAAATATATAATATAAAATATATAAATATATATATATATATAAATATAATATAAAATATATATATATATATATATATGTTAAAAACAAAGACACACCAGAAATAAACAAAGCACACACACATACATACACAGACACACAGACACTCAAACACACACACACAAACACACACACACACACACACACACACACCACACACACACACACACACACACACACACACACACCACACACACACACACACACACTCAGACACTCTAATTCTTCTTTCCACTACACATCAAACATCCTTCCTTCATCTTAATTATTCCCAACACAATCTGTTGTACACTTCTTGATACACTATCTGTCATCACTTAAATGCACATCTGTTCCAACTTAAAATAATATACCTTTAAAACTAATATTAGTTGACAGTTAATTTTAATTGTACAATAATGTCAGCTGCCAGGATAGAGAAAAGATTGGTAGAAAATCAAGTGTTGCAGTGTAAGGCTCTATTATAGACAACGTTTCGCTCTTGGTATAGCTTTGTAAAGTTATCATTACTTTATAAAGCTCTACCCACACTTACATACACATTTTAGTGGATCGGGAAGTACTCCAAGGGCAAACAATGTTCAATCAAACAATTCTTCTGATCGCAAATAGCACGAGATTGGAATAGCAGACAGCGTTCTTGAGGAGAACGAGATATTATGGCGCACTCCCTGATTGAGACAGAGCGGAAATGGAGAAGAACAGTTGAGAAGAACAAAAAATGTCGTCAGTTACATGAAAGAGAAGCATAGGAGGGAACATCCAGACTCCGGAAATCTCTCAAGGTTCATCCCCTGGCCATCTCACAGAAGGCCCAAATCGTCCCCCTCCCATTTCTTCACCAATAACAGTAACTCCACACTCTCCCTTTCTCCACCCTATCTATATCTTTTACCCCTCCCCTTATAATTATGTACACGCCAACCTAAGCCTCATTTCTCTCAACTGAGGTGCAAACAGTAAGCTGGACACCACAAGCCAAAGCACTGAAAAATAAAGGTCAGAACATAGTACACATACGCAGATGGATTTCATAGAAGACCTAAACGTCGTAGCTGTCACGGAGATAAAAGTGAGTGATATCATAAATGCCACATTTACATCATGCTATCTAGTAATGAAGAATGAAACAGAAAATAGATGATGGGAGGTGCTGCACCGCTAATAGGAAACCATTTGTGTTTTGAAGAGATGTGAAAGATAAAGAGAAATGAGTCAGACATTTACACAGAGAGCACAATCAGACCGTGGACTGAAAGAAGTAGCAACTGTGCTCTACAAAATACTACCAAATAATAGAAAAGTAAAGACAGAAGTATAAAGATATCAGCAAAGCAATTACTGACATAACAGAAGCAGCAAGAAGAACCTGCATAGCCAAAACAAAGCTGCTAATCGTGGGAGATTTCAACTATATAGAAACAGACTGGGAGAATTGCATCTTACGTGGCGAACTTAAAACAATGATGATGACGAAGGTGGTAAAGGAAAAGCATTGTATCAGCATGGGAGAGAGAGAGAGAGAAAGAGAGGGAGGGAGGGAAGGAGAGGAGAGAGAGAGAGAGAGAGAGAGAGAGAGAGAGAGAGAGAGAGAAGAGAGAGAAATATGCCAGGAAGACTGGATCTCCATGACTGAATTCCTAAGTGTAGTTGAATGAGAAAAGGAACACTGTGAAAAGTCATCAAATGTGACAGTACTGGGAAGTGCCGGGAAGTAGAGATGAACTTCATAACCAAAATTAGATGAGAAAATAGTAAAAAAAAAAAAAAGCACGTGGTTGAACCAAGATGCAGAGAAGGAAAAAGAAAAGTGCAGGAGCATGGAAAAAATACGGAAAGACAAAGACAAAAAAACAGAGAAGTGATCAAAAGAGCCAGAAAGAAAGAGACAAAGATGAGAAAAGAAGCTGACTGACAACTTGAGAATGATCAAGCAGTAAAAGACATGTCTGAACCTAATCTGATTAACAGCCTCGTCAGGAAACATAGACAAGTAATAGACCCGGTAATAAGACATATGAAAGAATAAAAACTGACGAGGCAAAACAAGGAACTACTTGAGTTGAACAAACGATTTAAAGAAGTGGAAACAGCGACAAGACCAGAGAGTCAAAGAGAAATAACATATCAGTGGATATTGGACACCATACAAGCCAACAGGGAAAGAGGTGAAAAAAACTTTTGATAGCCCTGGTTACATCAAAGTCAGAGGGACCGGACAAGGTATCACCACAGCTTCTACGAGAGGAAAAAGAAACACTCTCTTAATTACTATCTAAAATCAACAAGTCAACAGATATTGGACAATTGTCAGAGAGTTGGAAGACAGGGAATGTAATCGCAATATTTAAGAAAGGTGAAAGAGAGTGTTAAACTACTGACTTGTGTCAATGGCATACTTACCGTGTAAGCTAATAAAGAAAATAACAAGGATAAGAATGGCGGAACATTTGGGAATTTTTTTTTACAAACTAGTACAGATTTGGAAACAGAAAAGTCTTTCTTCGCAAACCTGCCGTGGTTGTACGACAGAGTTATGAAAGTGAGGCAGCAGAGAGAGGGATGAGTGAATTGAATACTATTAGACAGTAAGAAGGTATTTGATTGTCTTTCACAAGAGATTGGGAAAGAAATGAAGCACAAGCAAAAATAACAGAGAAGGCACCTCAGAGAATCAAACAATCCAGTATGGGTAGCAGATGTCGGAACGGGAAAGTGCAGTAAATGAGGATTACAAAGATCGGTTTTAGGATCAGTACTGTTTTACAAAGATCGGTATTAGGATCAGCAATGTTTTACAAAAAATCGGTATTAGGATCAGTACTGTTTTACAAAGATCGGTATTAGGATCAGTACTGTTTTACAAAGATCGGTATTAGGATCAGCAATGTTTTACAAAGATCGGTATTAGGATCAGTACTGTTTTACAAATATCGGTATTAGGATCAGTACTGTTTTACAAAGATCGATATTAGGATCAGTACTGTTTAATAAGGATCGGTATTAGGATCAGTACTGCTTTACAAAGATCGGTATTAGGATCAGTACTATTTGACAAAGATCGGTATTAGGATCAGTACTGTTTTACAAAGATCGGTATTAGGATCAGCACTGTTTTATAAGGCTCGGTATTAGGATCTGTACTGTTTTTGGTAGAAGTGAATGAAGTTATAGAAGAGTACACTCAGTTGAATCTCTGTTTGAGGATGATTTCAAAATTAATGAGGATTAAAAATACCAGCGAGGAAAAGAAAAGAATACAAATGGATCTGGATAAATTACAGAACTAAACAAATAAAGTGGCTACTGGAATTCAACCCCAGCAATTGCAGCATCATGAAATTTTGGGAAAGAGTAAGATAACCGGTAAACTTATTAAAGACTCGGGGAATAGAGGCTACAAGCCTCACTTACAGAAGACCTGGGGGTAAGCATAGTGCCGAACATATCGTCAGGGGAATACATCATCTGAATAACCTCTGTAGTCAGGAATCTGAACAATGGGTCATTCGTGGGTCTGTGTACGACATATATGAATCCTAGTGGAACCCTCGCTTGATAAAACATGTTAGAAACTGGAAAAGTGCAGAGGTATCCAACGAGACTAGTCCCAGAGCTAATGGTAATGAGCAATGAGGGGGAGGAGAAAGGAACTGAACCTGAGGACACTGGATGTTAAAAAGAAGCAAGGAAAACATGACATCGGCATACAAAATACTCAAGAGAGCTATTTATAGTAGACAGGATAAACTGCTCAGGAGGCTGGGAACACGTACACATGGGCATATATAAAAGTTAAAAACACAAAGGAGTCACAGGAATATAGGGAAGAATATCTTCAGCTTAAGGATGCTTCGGAAGTCGAATGACCTGTACGATGAAGCAGTGGAGACATGGCATGACAGGGTCCACAAGACTAAGAAGAGGTACACTCAGTAAGTAGCAGGTTAAGAGACATGAACAGGAGCTACGACTTAGCCCCTGCAAAAATTATAACCTTTATTTTTAAAGGGATGGACCGGTAAGCCAGCGGAAGGCCTCGGTCAGATGACCAAAAGCTCCAGCCGCGGGTC